TTGAGTGATCATTAAGTGGTTTCTGTTCAACGACGACCGTGCGTAAGATTTCGAGAGAACTTGCGTGGCCGTGCGTAAAGTTTTTACGAGATGTTTCGTGAATCGCATTTAACGAGATTTCGTAACTGCGTTTTGAGAGACGATGTTACGTGCTCGTAAACGCGGCTTTTTACGAAGTTTGGCGAATGGGGCCCCTGGAGACTAGGATAGGATAGGATTTGCATATCTATCCCAGAGGAAAGGAAAGTGGATTAGACGGTTTAACCATATGACAAACCACGGCCGCTCGTCCGGTTACCATTCCATGTCGGTTATGGGATTATCAATCAATTTTATTTGGTCACTCTGATACAAACACAAAACATCACCAAAGGGCAAACAAAATGCAGAGGACCTGGAGAACGGGCATAACTTAATAATAAAGTTAAATACGTACAAGTACGTGTCCTTTCCCCCAAAACACAATAAAACAAAAACACGATGTGACATCGGGCAATATCTTATAAATTCAAATTAAAATGTGAGACGTGTATGTGCTTTTCCTACAGATATATGGATTAAATCATTAAAGAACACTTGCCGCCAAAAAATGGTGATGCTGTAGGCCTAGTTCAATTACGTTGCTAAAGTAACATAGTGAAAATTTTTTTTTACTAAAAAACAAGCTTGGTAAATGAATTGAATGTTCCATAGAAGTCTATGCACAAATCATGGTTCACAAATCATTAGTTAGTTATTACTTATCGATTTTAATCGGTAAGTATGTTGATAGGTATTTGTCTGTATGTCTGTTAGATGCACGCGATATCTCACGAAAGCAAGATTAGACCTGCTGCAGATTTTGCATATGCATTCATCATATGCCGGATCATAAGCCTATTGATTTTGGATGAATTATGTCGTGTAATTAGCAAGTTATTAATTAATTAGTGATGGGACACAAGGTGTCACTATGGAGTGAGAGCGCTGTTTTGGGGGATCCCCTAACTTTCGATCGAGAAGTCTTTGGTATCTGACCATTATTCTCGTTTGTTTGTCGGAAGCATGAACTTGATGGTGGAGGAAGCCGTAACCGACCAGCGGTTACGTGAACCACCCACTAGCCAGAGCAGAGCATAAATAAAATGTGAGAAAGAAATGTGACAAGTTACCACAATTCCAAATGACTTCCCTCGACAAAAAAAAAACGTTTCTAATTGAAGTTCAAGTACATTTTATGCTGTGTCGTTGTAAACCTATGATTATTTATTTTCGGTGGATACCCTGATATCCAATTTTTGAAGCATGTTTAACAGTAAATGTGCAACTTTCGTTAATGGGAATGTGTTGAGTATTTTCATACAAAACTGAAGAATTTATTTAGATACCACATGTGGGCTATGAAACTCAATTTCTAGTCGTTTTTCAGGTCCTCGTCCCGCGGCCTGCATGGCCGCTGAGAGTAAACTTCATAGATAGATAGATAGATAGATAGATAGATAGATAGTTTATTTCGAAAACTCCATAACAAACCTAAATTAAAAATGGAGAATTCTGGAGGGCAAGCAAAACCTACAAAAAAGTTTAAAACATGAAGTATCTCATGTGCCTGCCCACCAGCACGCACACAAAAACACAAGCCCAATTAAATGAGGCTTGGGCCAAACTTAAAAAACAAAATACACGATAGTAATAACTGTTGTACTCTCTTTCAACAATTACGGTGATGATGACCAATACCTACAACCTCATGCAAAGATAATGTGGGGAGTGGAATGTAATAAATTTGCGACGATAGTCATACTCATGAAGCCATAAGAAAAACCAAGCCATGAAAAACTACACTGATTGCTTGATTGGGCATTGCGGAAAAGGTGATAAGTGGTTTAATATACAAACAAACGCAAAACCATGGCGGCAAATTCGGTGTGCGGACACTCATAAAAGCAATTATTAGGAAAAACACTAATCACACGTGAGCAGGTCTGTAGCCTAATTGATACATTGACGTGGCCAACATTGTTAAAACAGTACCGATATACACACAGAGAGAACAAATCAAAAATATGCCACTAAATGAATGTTTAAAAATGTTACACTGTAAGTTACACTGCAAACTATTTACACATATATAGTTGAATACTCAGTATTCAGTTCTGCCAGACTGCCGTCTGGGTCGGACGTGTTTTTGTTGCTCTGTTAGATGAAAGATCAATCAATGCTGTTGGACTGAGAATGCTACGCGCTGTGTGTTTCGGTATTTACTATTAGATTTGTATCTCGTGATATCAACATAATCAAGGCCCATCCACCGGAATTAAAGAAGTTTATGGATAAAAGATTGGATTTAAAGTTTGTGTTTAAAGTTAGCATTTGGTAAAATCTCTCCGCGAGATGTCGCGTACGTTGCTAGGCTACAAGCGAAGACTCAAATCCCATAGCCCAGCGGTGCTAAACTTTTTGTTCGTGCGGCACCAAATTATCAAGGGAAAAAATTCGCGGCGCACTTGCTCGAAAAAAGTGCTGCTTTCAATTAATAGCGATCGTTTGCAAACATATAGTCACAAAGAATAAAGGCCAATTCTTCTTTCTTATCTCTGCCCAATTTTTCTTTGAAATGTTATAAAACCACGCATATCTGCAAAACCCGGTTAAGCAGATAAATACTGAAATAAATGGCAGCAAGTACCGTAATGAACATCTCTCATAATGTACATTGTTACATAACAATAGAGATTGACACTATGTAACAGAAAGTAAACGACTAAAAAAGTGGCAACGAATTCATTGATTCTTATATTAAAAATAAACAATAGGATAGGATTTACATATTTATCCCGGGGGAGAGGAAAGCCGATAAAATGGCTTAACCATATGGCGAACCACGGCCTCTCGTCCGGTTACCATTCCATGTCGGTTATGGGATTATTTAGTTATTTGTTTTTCGGAAGCATAGACTTGATGGTGGAGGAAGCCGTAAGAACCACCCTACCGCGGCGAGGAGTCCAGCAATCCTCTCGCACATGCAGAATAATCAGAGGTGCGGTGGTGAGCGTATTCCTAACGCTTAGCGCGATGGGCCACACCGACGCGCAATAAAACATTTATAGTAAATAAATTTGATATATAAAATATTCGGTACTCCTGTAGCGTGTGTACCAGGTTGGGCCATATTTTTATTCCGATATTCCTTATTTTAGTTCTATTATGAGTCCGGGGACTGTCTGTGTTAGCCAAGTGAATATACCCCCTGCCCATAGGTTTCAGTCCCTGTACACAACTTGATGTTAAGTAGGCAAACAAAATTAGTTATCTCCACATTGGTACACAAACTTCTGGAGTGCTAAATATTCAATCATATTTTAGTTATGTATAACGCAATTCTGGCTTTTCATGGCGCCATGGCAACTCCCTCCGGCGCATCATTTGGGAACCGCTATCATAGCCCATGGTCTGCGAACACAGCACTAAAACCTCACATGGCACTAACAAACAATAGTGAAAGACTAAAGAAGAAAACAAATGGAATGGATAAATATTTATCCTGGGGGAGAGGAAAGACGGCTTAGTCATATGGCGAACTACGACCGCTCGTTTGCTCACCAGTCCATGTCGGGTATGGGAATAGCTCGGACCAGTTATTTGTTTTATAGACTTGATGATGGAGGAACTGACCATCAATTGAGAAATTATCCCAACCACAGGAAATTTCATCCTTCTCGCCTCGGTTTCAGCCTTTTAGTTTATTTTAAGTTTTCTTCCTGGGGAACACTGCACCCATTTTACTTTCACCTTCAATTTCTGTTTCTTCAATTTCCTTTTGGGGTTTATTCTACTCTACGTGTAAAATAATTCTCCCATAAGTATAAGATGGCATTATTTACATATTTATCCTAGGGAGAGGAAAGCCGATAGGATGACTTAAACATATGGCGAAACACGGCCTCTTGTCCCCTTCCATGTCAGGTATGGGATTAATTAGTTTTTTGTTTTCCGGGAGCATGGACTTGATGGTGGAGAAAGCCGTAGCCGATGGGAACATTTTATTCTGCCAGCTTGTCCACCAACATTCTCAGCAAACTCTGTGCTCAGTGAAGCCATATCCAGTACTCTTAGTACCGATATGTAGGAGCGTTTTTCTCATTATTTCTTATTGCCACAGCACCTCTTTCTTCTACAATTAATGAACTCTTGCGGGATTCATTCATTTGTTGCTAGTTCCTATACCAGTGATGGGTACAAGGTTCGGCGGATGTTGCGCTATGCTACTCATTAGAGCAGTCATGCCCACCCAACCCACAAGATTTCTTGTGGGCCGCAAATCATGTTTTATTTTTTTATGGCCCACATGAAATAATGTGGCCACACACCATGAATTAGTTTAAATTCTATGAAATATGAACAATGGTTTCAAGAAGTAATAGGATATAGAGAGCATATACATATACATTTATTTGTCCGGCTTAAGCGAAACCTATTTTTGAATGTCATTTCCCCAGTTTTTCATATCGACTGGCATCCTGTGCAGGGCAACGGGTTATTCATATTTTGAGTCAGCTCCGATTTTTATTTACTTCTGAGAAGAAGGATTCACACAAATCAGTTATCATGCTGCCTATGCAACATGCCATTTGGTAAACATGGGAAATTCATTCCCAGCAAATTTATTTTTGTATACCATTATTTTATTACCTTTCAGCAATGGGTACCTTTAAATCCATGGCTGACCAGGAATTGACATGTTCTAGTTGTATATGATGCACACTCGTGCACAGCCTCTTCAAGTGGAATGAATATGTGCAGATTTAAAATAAATATGGGCTGCTGGTTTCAAATTTAATTGACATTTTAGACTTGCATTCCCGCAGCCTGGAACCATGCAACTCAGTTACAGCGAAATAATTAGAAGCACGTTTACCTACAAGGGTTCAAACCCGGCAGTGATAATCCTGTTTTTACAGACGAAAAACTGTATCGAGACATTGCCATTTGTTTTTATCTTCATAAGATGTATTGAAACCTTGAATGCTGTATTATTCATGCTGTATTTCAAAAGATTCATTTCTAGGTTTCAAATCCGCTGTACATAAAAAAATACTTCGTATATCAAATAAACCAATTAATAAAACAAAAATAATTGAATTTGTAAACAATCAATGACAGCAATGCATTAAAACCAATTTGCAAAAAACTTCAAAATATATATATACAGTACACACAAATACTCAGGTGGGCACTTGCGCGGCGGGAGTTCCTATCATTACACTGTGTAACAATGAACAAATTTTTTGTCCACAGCTTTTTGGTCTTTTTTTGATTTTGTGAAAATGGGCATGTTTCCGCAAAATTGGGTTTTTGTGATATAAAACAGCGTAAAACATTCATAATAACACAGTCTGGTACTATTTTTCGTGTTTTTTGATATTCCAGAAATGTGTTTCTTGTATTCTATGAAAATAATCTTGAAAAAATTAATAAAAACTCATTTTAAATGACCTTTTTCGCAACTAAAACCATAAAAAAAAGAAGTTTTTTCAAATATAATTCAAGCCGATTTCACAAATAGGGTTATGGAGTCGCCCATCTTTTATGATCCAGTGATATAGTGTCAGGATCACCAAGCAAAAAAAAAACCTCGCCAAGACAGACTTTCTTTTCCCTAAACGTTGCTTTTGTCACCTAAATATAGTTTTTTTCAATGCTATTTTGGTTCCTTGGTACCCCAAATGACTGGCAATTTTTATTGAAAGCTTTAGCCCGAGTTTAGAAGTCATATTCATATATTTTTAACTGGGAAAACAAATACTCATCTATTTCGGCAGCTCAGTGCATCTTCTAGATAATTAGATAAAATAACATATTTGTTTTTGAATTTATTGTCACATTTGTTGTGAATTTCTGATGGGTCGACAAAGTAACTTTACAAAACCTTCAAATTGAAGTTGCCATTTGGATAGCAGAGAAACAGAGTTTCAAATTGCAACAGGCCCATAATGGCATAGGATAACAAAATATTTTGGCAGTAAAGACGACATCAAACGTAACCATACAACTGCCCCAGCTAAATATTGATAATAATTTTGATGAACATATGAGCCCTGAAGTCTAAGTGAAGATTTAAATTTAAGTCATTTTAGTTGCTAAAAAGGTATTTAAAATTGGGTTGTATGGCTTTTTCCAATATTTCTCAAATATAACACAAGAGCATCAGTTTTAAGCTGTTTTATATCACATAAACAATTGTGGGGAAATCCCCACCAAAAAAAAAAAAAAAATTCATTTTATTTTTTTTTCAGTTTTGGGGTGTGACCAATCAGAAACCAACAATTATAAGCATCCTGTGTGGGCTTGTGGGTGATAATTATTTGTGAGAGGATTGCTGGTCCCTCGCCGCTGTACACTGGTCGATAACTCAGGTAAAATTTGACACAGTTTTAAACGTCTGAACTGGCCACTCTAGCTCCATAAGTTGTAGAGTCTTTAAGTTACCTTTGATAAATCATAAACATAAGTCATTCTTCTTCAGTATTTCAATTGAGCGTTTTTGATTAGTATTCCTATCTACATTCTAATAATGAGTTGACGATATGGGAGTTGATATATAAATTGTCTGCAGTGTTCATTCAGTTTTCTTGTTCTGAGACGTCCCCACGTTGCTACCATGAAATGATGCACTATCTACTTTTTCGATATGGTAGGAAACGTTTGGTGGTTGTCGTACTCTTGCGATAGCGTTCGAAGACGCAGATTGATTTCCTGAAAAAAAAAAAGATAAATTATAGTTTAAATTAAATTGTTATTTTTTAAGGAAAATTGCTTAAAGCAAGGTCACCTTAACTCTCATACAGAAATTGATATCTGTGCAGGCAACTAATGGCTACTCATGAGACTACAGAGAATTATGAGATAATCCAGAAGTAGAGCCATGCTAGAGCATAATTTTATTCCAATTTTCCCTATTTTAGTTCTATTACGAGTTCGGGGGCTAGCCAAGTGACTCGCGTAGTATTTGTACCTGAATGTATGGCCTAACCTTAACCTGGTACACATGCTACATTCCGGTGTCCGCCATCTTGGTTCACATACTACTCACTTGATGACATATTTCATTCGCACGTACATAGTATAATTGGTAGTATATAAAATATTATATTAAAACAAAAATACACCAGGGATTTTAATCTAATGGCGTACCTTCTTCTTTCATAAGAAGAATAGTATGTGAGATTCTGACATGCCCTTCGGATGAGATCGTATATTCAAATTCCAACTCTCGTTCTCTGCTTAGTTCCTCTGATAGGTTGAAATACCGTTGACAGTGGCCTCTCGCCATCTGTTCTTCTACGCGTATATCCATTTTAAATTCGATGTCATTGCCTGGTTTGGTGCTTTTTAGTTTTACCTCCACACTAGATCCCAGTTGAATTGCAATTTGGTCTGCCAAAGGAAGGGCCCTGGAGTAGCCATTTTTCTCTAAGAGCTCATGGCAGCGTTCCTCAGTTGCATCATGGTCGCCACAGAGTAGTATGGCGAGTTGTCTGAAGTTTTTTGTGTAGTAAACAAGGGCACGGATTTTATAGTATATCAAGGAGCCAACAGCCCATGACAAAAAGGAAGAAAACCGCTTCATTATTGTCGACACATTCAGGAAAATGGCATACCAGGAAAAGTGATTAATTTTAAAAGTTACAGTTTCGGAATTGTCCAAGTCCACTTGACCAATTTCTTTCCATTCATCATTGTCATCCCACTCCTTGCACATGACTGAAATTTTTATGCCTTCACATGTTGTAGTGCACCACGTAGGGAGCTCCACGCCGATATATTTTTGAAGATTGGTAGTCCCGGGCTTGATACTCAATATTGGTGATATTGCTATAAACCCTTCAGGAATATTTTTATAGTCAAAGTCCAACTGGGCGTTTATTTCAGTGAATGGTAGAAGAGCTCCTTTAGTAAACGTCAGAGAACATCTATCGAAACCAATGGAACCAGAACTGATTGCTTTGGCTCGAACTGGAAAAAAAAGGAAAATAGATTTCAATTCGTTATGTTAAGACTATGAAAGTAAAATTGAAATTTGCATTTTAGAGATATTGCATCGTAGCGGTTTATAACTGAGATGTGGAAAAAATTTGGGTACTGACGAAGTATGTAAACCAGGATGGCAGACACCGGAATGTAGTATGTGTACCAGGTTAGAGTTAGGCCATAATTCTATTCCAATTTCCCCTATTTTAGTTCTATTCTGAGTTAGGGGACTAGCCAAGTGACCGTAGTATCAGTACCTGAAAATATGACCTAACCCTAACCTAGTACCCATACTACAATCCGGTGTCCGCTATTTTGGTTCACATACCTCAGGAGTACCCTAAATTTGTAGTCTGTTCCGAGGCTGAGCACATTTTGGCCCTTGACCAAAGGTTATTTAAATATGTGAACTCTCTGAAAATTTTGATAAAGAAAAAACTTTGGCTTATTATACTAACAATCTTATTTAAAATAACTATTAAAAAATCTCACTAAAATTAATGTTTTCGAGATATAATCTATAATATTTCTGGATAATAAAACCCACGCGAAATCACCAAAAAAGAACACACAATTCCGATATTCATTTAAAAAAGGTTTTCACTGGTTAGTCCAGGTTGAAGTGTTTATATAGACGTAATGATTATGATATGCCAAATTCAAAGATTGGAGTTCTTGCACATCACCGTAGATACTTACCAGTAATGTGTCAGTGATGCCTCGTTCAGAGTGAACCATCTTAACAAATTATAAAAGCAAAAAATAATTTCAACTACGCAATATTTACATGAATTTGATGCCTCTGAAGTGACTTCTAATCTTGACAACTTTGCATACTTTGACATATGTAAGTCAGCCCTTTCCGATGAAACTTTTATCTGGTTCTTACAAGCTGAAGTGAAACATTTTGAAAATTAATGACCCAAATTATTGTGTTTAAGTAAGGCATGGAGATATGCCACTATCATAGACATATTATAAGACTTGTAACAATGAATTTGGACCATAGTTTGAATTTGAGAAATTGGAGCAAGAAAGAGTTACAGCAGTGGTAATCAGTGAGGGGTGTAGAAACTGTAACTTTTTCAATTAAACTCAGTAAAAGAAGTTAATAAATTGTGCCCCCTAGGTGTTCCCACTTGTCAGTGTACTTATGGGATATACATTCATCAAATAGTCATCCTGGTAAAAAATTCCTAATTGTTTCTCTTACAGTTAACTTTCGGAGCTCCCGAAGTATGTGCACCAAGATGGCGCACAACCTGAATATAGTAGTATGTGTACCAGGTTAGGGTTCAGGTTGTGCGCCATCTTGGTGCACATACTTCGGGGGCACCTAACTTTCAAGTCTGGGGTCAACTTTTATCTGCAGAAATATTTCTCACAATGGTGAATATATAGATCGACACACTAAAAAACTTTCCAAATTTTTAGTCAAAATATATATACAACTGCAGTGAAGAAGGTACGTACTATAATATTTCATAATAATATCTCACCGTTCAAGGCTTTCACGGAATTTTCGATGCATTTGTTTCTTTCAGCATCGTTAGCATAATCAGTTGCCTGTTTCTTTGCCCTAATAGTTCTGGCGAACATGTCTTCTGCTTCACGTTTTTGACCAAGGTTAATTAGAGCGATTGAATGGTTGTTTAAAATTTTACCATAGAATTTATATTGTACAGCTTTTTCGCCATATCTGTCCTCCATAATTTTGAGGCCTTCTCCACTTATTTCTTTAAATTCTTGATAGGCTTCCAATTCTTCATAGCATTTTGCCAATTCGAAAAGGAGTTTCGCTTGATTTTTACTCGATAGTTCGTTGTTGTCTGATAACTGTTCCCAAACTGTTGTGGTAAATGTATTTACAAGAGGAAGTAAGACTTCCTTTGCAAGACAGTTTTTTTCTTTTAGAAGAAAACTTTTAATGAGTTTTTTAGTTTGATGTAGGGAGCGAAACAAAAATTTTTCCATTTGCGCTGGTCTGCCATCACTGGGAATGTGCTGTGACAATCTCAACCATCCAAAAGAGGTGAATAGTGAAATTTTTTTAAGATAACTTTCACTTTGCCGCAAAGCATTTTCTTTTAATGAATGGCTTGGCTTGAATATTTGTAACTCCATGGCTTTGTCTGAAACTTTCATTAATCTTTTATTTGCTAGTTCATCAACCATTGAGGAAACAAGCTCTGAGTGTTTTTCATTTTGCTGTGATGTTTTCGATGAAATTTTTTCCTTGAAATCAGGATTCATTTTTCAGGATAAGATTTGTACAAAGTTATGCTAATTAACTAGGCTGAAAAGTAAAAACAATATAAACACACTTTGAAATGTGAAAGGTTCCTTGAAAAACAAAATTTTATTTGATCCGTCTCCCCAAATCAGAATTTCATGACATTTCACTGACACATTACAATTGATAAAGAAATTATTGCAATTTACTTTGTCATTCATTGGATCACAGCTACAACAACATACTGCCTAGACCAGGGCTACTCAACTGGCGGACCGCGGTCCGAATCCGGACCTTCTGAGTATTTGATTCGGACCGCACATCAATCTTTATTTTAGATCATTAGCCTCACTTTTGAAGTTTCTTTTTATAAAATGACCTCTATAGTTTTGAATATATATGAAAAGAACTATACCACCATAATAAACAATCTTGATGAGCTAATAATTATTAGCCGGTCGAGGAAGAGCGCGTTTTAAAGTTGCCGAAATATAATTTTTGGAAACACCGGACCCAAATAATTTTGAAGTTATGCGGACCTTCGGTAAAAATAGTTGAGTAGCCCTGGCCTAGACCACTGGTTCTCAACCGATGGGCCACAAAATTATTTTTAGGAGAATAGGGGCCAACAAGTCTTAACAAATTTTAAACTTATTGATAAATCAGTTAATTTTTCTGTATCAGAAATGAATACAACTACTATTTTTGCAATTAAATGGTATTTTCCATTCCCATCTTTTCAAAAATGATTTGTTTTGTTTTGAGTGTAGTTTTTCCATTGTGTGAGAAAATTAATCGGCCACAGAATATTTTGGGCAACAAAAGTGGGCCACGAAAGAAAAAAAGTTGAGAATCACTGGCCTAGACAAATCCGATACCACACACATATTCATCAATTTCTAGGATTTTTCATATTTATCTCATGGGAAATTCATTCGCGACATGGACTGATGAATGAGCAATAGAACATGGTTCACTTAGGGCAGGGTGGTCCAAGATTGGCAGCTCCGCGGGCCACAAAATTACTTTTGCATTGTTCACAGGCCACAATAGTGCTAAGAACTTCATTCGTTTAACTATGCTAGTTGCCTCAGCAAGCAATAACACTAGTCATTTCTGTGACTTTGGCGATGCAACAATATGTCAAAAGATTTTTTGGTCAATTTATGGCGAAACAACACGAAATGTGATTTTTGATTCCTCGCCGAATGTGACGCGAGCCACAGATAATGAAGCAACGGGCCACATGTGGCCCGCGGGCCTAGGTTTGGACCACCCTGACTTAAGGTAATAAATTGCCATATCAATAAACTTAATTTGATTGAAAGAACAATTGATTAGAGCAACAATAAAGATTGAAACCACAGAATAGCATCCAAAATAACATTCATTGAATTTTTACATCAACAAGAAAAGATATCAAATTTCAATGGCATTCGATAAAGTTGGGGCACCCTCTCTGGTGACCATATTTCATTGAATATTTATGCATCGAGAAAAGATGACGAATTTCAATTAAATTCGAAGAGGTTGGAAAATCCCAACATCGGGAACCCCCCCCCCCCCTCCCTGGGGACTATATTTCATAGAATATTTATGCATCGAGATAATATAACGAATTTCAATGGTATTCGAAGAGGTCGGGAAATCCCAGCATCTGGAAACTCCCCCCCCCCTCCCTGGGGACCATATTTCATTGAATATTTATGCATCGAGAAAATATGACGAATTTCAATGAAATTCGAAGAGGTTGGAAAATCCCAACATCGGGAACCCCCCCCCCCCTCCCTGGGGACCATATTTCATCGAATATTTATGCATCGAGAAAATATAACAAATTTCAATGGTATTTGAAGAGGTCGGAAAATCCCAACATCGGGAAACTCAAAGGGGACCATATTTCATTAAATATTTATTCCAACATATCGGGAAACTCCCCCCCCCCTCCCTGGGGGCCATTTTTCATTGAATATTCATGCATTGAAAAAATATAACAAATTTCAATGGTATTTGAAGAGGTCGGAAAATCCCAACATCGGGAAACTCAAAGGGGACCATATTTCATTAAATATTCATCCCAACATATCGGGAACCCCCCCCCCCTCCCTGGGGGCCATATTTCATTGAATATTCATGCATCAGCAAAATATAACAAATTTTAATGGTATTCGAAGAGGTCGGGAAATCCCAGCATCTGGAAACTCCCTCCCCCTCCCTGGCGACCATATTTCATTGAATATTTATGCATCGAGATAATATAACGAATTTCAATGGTATTCGAAGAGGTCGGGAAATCCCAGCATCTGGAAACTCCCCCCCCCTCCCTGGGGACCATATTTCATTGAATATTTATGCATCGAGAAAATATGACGAATTTCAATGAAATTCGAAGAGGTTGGAAAATCCCAACATCGGGAACCCCCCCCCCCTCCCTGGGGACCATATTTCATTAAATATTTATGCATCGAGAAAATATAACAATTTTCAATGGTTTTCGAAGAGGTCGGGAAATCCCAGCATCTGGAAATACCCCCCCCCCCTCCCTGGGGACCCAATTTCATTGAATATTCATGCATCGAGATAATATAACAAATTTCAATGGTATCCGAAGAGGTTGGGGTCCTCCCCTAGTTAAAAAGGTCCTCCCGTAGTTAAACACTGGGTTAGGATATCCCCACTAGGGACCATATTTCAATAGTATTTTAAAGACTTTGATACTCAATTTGGCATACTGAATCAGGCGCGGAAGGTTCGAAACGATTTATCAATTGCAGTTCTACACACGGGACAGAATTTAACTCTCTCAGCGCAACCAACACAAGCGCAGATATGGCCACATGGTATAAATAATATTACGGCTTCCTCTGTCAGACATATCTTGCATCTCCTCTCTCTTTCTAGCTCTTGTAGTCTGAGAACAAAATATAAAAATTGAATGAAGTTTGCTACTGGGAAACGTCATCAATGGTTCATGCATCAGAGGAATCGAGTAGACATGTGCAAAAATATTACTGAACTCATTGCTGGATTGTTTTAGTATTTATGGACAGTAAGGCCCATGCAACTAGAACGATTCTGCCATAGACTTGAGAATAAATGAATGTCATGTATGGGGACGGGCAAAATAGATCACCGAATCCGGAGGATTTGAATACTTTGGGATTCGATAACAGGATTGGGCCTCCCAAAATTGTCGCCATGCGACAATTTTTGTATTTCGTATTTCAAATTTATTAATCTGTGGCGAGCGTTTTTTCTCATGACGAAATCTCTCTCTCTCTTGTGTTCACTCGCAAATAACTGCAAAAACGGCGGATATCAAACATCGTAATCCCAGCTTACATATTCAAAATGCAAATGCGGTGGTATTGCACCATTTTTTGCATTTTACAATTCCAATATCTCGTTTGCTTGTAATAATATTTATTATTGGTGCTGACTGCGGACTTACTGGCGATTTTCCGATTACCTGATTGGGGTATTAAAAATTGAACATTCTGTTTATTTTGCTAGAATAGGGGCCTGAAACATCCAGTGAAAAAATTGGCATACCTCTCTTCTGCAGACGCCTTTGTTGTTGTAGTCGGTTCTTGTGCAGTCAGCAACGAAGTAGTAGACGTAGCAGAACAATTCGTATGATTGGGTATCTCTACCTGCTGTTGCATCCTAGCAAAATGGAATTAGTAAATTTTCTTTTATTTCTTATGCATAATGTGCTAAGGCATGAATATAAATATTTATTACAAACAATACAAAGTTTCTATTCTGAATAAAGCCTTTAATCGATGTCAAAACAAAGTATTCATGGAAATAGATTTATGTTATACATTCTAATTGACAAGGAAATATGGTCTTACCTGTACTTTGAGTTACTCATTGTTTTGAAAGATTCTTCTGAAGAACCATAACCGCTTGAAATGGCTGTGTGAAAAATAATTTAATTAGTTTGATCACTCCAAACAACTACTTTAGAAGTGAGGGTTGTGCTAAGCATTAAAAAATGAAAATGCAAAGCACCTCAATAATGCTTCAAGCATGAAAGACTTGTAGTTCAATACACAATACTCAAGCAATCAGAAAAATAATAGATGTTAAAAAGCACTTACAAGTAGATTCCGAATCTGAACTGTCAGAATCCATAAATTCATGGAGAAGACCTGTGTGTGGAAATGTGATATGCTTATATTATGACTTTGGCAGATTTAAAAAAAATCAAAAAATAATAATGTACTTAGCTTCATTATATGATCTAAAGATAGGCAAATTCTGTAATCAGTTTCAATTTTGGCTATAATTATTTTATTGTCAGTTATGCTGATTATGGAGTCGAAATTTTATACATATACCCACCGCCATGTGAATCTTGGTTTCTGGAAGATTCTCCATGAACAGAACTGATTCTGGTTAAATTGAAATAAAATTACTGAACATGTGATAAAATTCGATGCATAAGTAAAATTTTTGGGACTCCCATAGTGTGTGCCTCAGGTTAGGGTTAGGCCATAATTTTATTCTGATTTTCCTTATTTTAGTTCTATTACGAGTTCGGGGAACGTCTGTGTTAGCTAAGTGAATACCCCCTTGCAGATAAGTTTCAGTCCCTTTAAACAACTTGATGTAAAGTAGGTGATCAAAATTAGTTACCATGGTCATCTTATCACCATTCCCCCCAGGATGAATGTCAAAATCCCATGCTATATCGCAGGAACATTAAATTTAGTTTTTTGTTATCACTTAGGGCTGGGGAGCAGATATGAAATGACAGTGGCTACGACTCCAACGCCACAGTGTACTCAAACCTTCGCTCTGGTTCTGCAGATATATTTTTCTATGAATGGCTCCAGCTCCATGTAGTCATTATGGTTTCAAGTGTGACCACTAGCAAGAAAAATCAGTCCAAAATGCAATTTTGGAGAAAGTGTAATATGAGGGTTTTAAATTTTCCAAATTGATTTTCAAAAATTATAAATGTATATATATTTAACTAGAAACCTAAATTAATATCAAAAATTGGAATTTGAAAAAAATTTATAAGCTGAGAATGATGAATCTCATTATTTGGGAGAAATATTTGAAAATTGTGAATGTGTAAAAAAATTAGATGGTTAGGAACAGGAGCCACTAAATGTTCTGTTAGCTTCGGCTGCGACAAAACGTCATGATTCAATCTCCGCAGCCCCAATCACACTGCAGGTGTAATTAGCTGCAGTTGCAATGAAGTTGCAAAAGCTATAATCTAATAATACCTTTCTTCAACTCGAAAAGCCCCTCCTTGAAAATTTGTAGCTGTTCCAGGCAGTGATGATCTCATGTTATTATATGGCATGTGTGTCTGCGGTTGCGGGAAATGCACTGCCGGTGCGTTATTCCTCAAATGGTACATCTCACCTCCGAAGAATGGATTGTCGACTGAAATGTAGTAATGCTGGATTACCGGTAATTAAAAACCAACTAGTTATAGTGAGAGAATTTTAAAAGAAACCCATTTTACAAATTAGAATAAATTTATTATACCAGATAAAATACTTTTATTATAGTGATAGTTTTAGGATTCCCATTTTTTTTAAAGAGGACAGAAAAGCCGATAAGTCAACTTAATAATATAAACCACAGCCTGTTGTCCGGTTACCAGTCCATGTCGGGTAGGATGTCCTATTCCTAACACTTAACACGATGCACCACAACGGCAAGCTTCGGGGTTATGAACATTAATAGAATGGTTTATCAAATAGCAAATCCAGCACAGTTAACAGGCCAGTTATGAAGGTGACCAAAATAACAATTATTCTTAATACAAAGAATTAGAAGGTTAGCACACAAGTGATTAGGTGAACAGTCTTGGGGCAACGAGAGTTCAGTTATACTCTTTTAGTCTTACCTGAAGAAACCATAACAAATCCCATTCTAAATTCCTGAATTGTAGCACCCTCTCTCAAACTGTTTCAGTTTTACTACACAAAATATATATAATAAATATACACTTACCAGCATTTGCCATGATTTCATCAAATGATTGTCCATTGATCATCATGTTCCCTGGGTTTGATGAATGTGCGGTAGAATGACTCGAGTTGTTAATTGGTGAACATGGCCCAATGGAGCGTAGCATCTGAATGTCCATGGGTATCTCATTCTCTACTCCACCTACAGCTCCTTCTAAACTCTCGGCACTGTCTGCGGCTTGGTGATATCCAAGTAAAGCATCGATCAATGCTTCACTTGACTCGTAACAACAGCCATTTTTCGCAATGTATCTGTGATTCGTAAGAAAAAAGTATTAAAACAAAAGAATTGAGCACTCCAGAAGTATGTGCACCAATATGGTGGACACTGGAACGTAGTATGTGTACCAGGTTAGAATTAGGCCATAATTTTATTCCCTTCTCCGCTTATTTCTGTACTATTATGAGTTCGAGACTAGCCAAATGACTCTTGTAGTATTTTTAAGTGAAATTATAGACTAACCCTAACCAGGTACACATACTATGTTCCAGTGTCCGCCATCTTGGTTCACATACTTCTTGAGTACCAAGAATTTACCCCTTTACTAATCTAAGAATTCTTAAAGCTAAAATTATGATGTTGTAAGTGCAAGACACAACGATGAGTTCTCATTTCACCTGATCAAACTTTTTGAGTCGCAATACACTTTGCCAAATATTTAATGGCTTTCCGTTTCCGTTGCATAAGCATACATAAAAATCTTCCTTGCTTTAGTGCAAATCCTTGCCTTGAATAAACACATTAATAAAGTCACCTTCTTTGCATATCTTTAATTTTCTCATCACTGAATCCAATTGCGCGGGCAGCTTGACCCGGTTCAGACCGCATTCCTGCTTGTAACATTTTCTCTCTCAATCGATGAATTTGAACAGGGTCATCTATATGGGGTTCAGGGGGGTGAGCGAGGGGTTGTGTAACTACATTGGGTATAACTTGTAGAGTTTGATCTGGTAAATTAGGACGCAGAATGTTGGGGTTTTGTATTGAAACTGATGTCAACCACGCTGGTCCTCTTTGTTGTAAAAGAAATTCACAGCTAAAATATATAAAGGTCGTTTAAACTCAGCATGAAAAACATTAGAAGATATGTATAGGATATTTATGTGTGTTAAAGGTATTTATTTCGGAGACACAAATTGTAATGCTGGCTCACCGTGCATTTAGCTAAATGCACTAAAATGAGTTTGAGTCGAGTTGAGAATTTAGCAAAATTATATTTTTTATCAAGTTGAAGTTGGATAGTGGCCAGTGATATCGCCCCCGGGGGCAAAAGACATAAACGGGAGGAGGGGGTAATGACGCTAGGAGTACTGTATGGGGTCTACGGTGCAAAACCACTGTTCTATACCTTATCAGGTTTACATCGTTATCGTTTGAGTTCTGCAAGGGGTGAGAGTATCACAAAGTTTGGTGACCTCGGATATAAAGTCATACCACTTGCTGACTTAAATTCTCACCAAGCGTTCAAAATTTGTGTATGGATAGCTGAAGTTTTAAAGGCAATGTTAGGCACAAAATAGCAACATGTGCTGCTGTGGTGTTTTAATTAGAAAAATACTAATTATTAATATAAATTGGGCTGATGCAGAGACTCTGCTAGTTGGGGCTGGCTTAAACAGGAAAAACATGCTTTAGCTACTTATATTTATGCGTTCAATCAAAACTTTTGTTAAAATTTTTATCATATTTTAATACAGTGTACTGCAATGGAAGATTTTAGCACACATGGCCCCTTATTTATCATCCCAGTGGTATTTACAGTGATATATGGATTCGTTGATTCTGAATTCAATTATGTTCAAACAATTCATGATCAACAAAGTGAAACACTCAGTGAAGTAACCTTATCAAGCAATAAAAATAGGAGAAACAGAGGGTTTTCTTGTTAAGGGAAAAGTGAAATTAGTTTTGCGCCTAGCATTGTGGCCCCCTATGCAACTGCACTGTGGTTGTATGGCAATAAAATGAACGCATCATTTCGAAATAAAACAAAAACTGGGTTTGAGATTGTGAAATTCCAATATCTAGATTTTAAAATAATATACCAAACACTCTTGTAGGTATGTGTGGTCGCAAATCTCTATATAACAGGGAATTGAGACTCACATTCATGGTTTAGTGGCCAGAGTGTTGAATCTGACTATGATGGCAGCACAGGCCAAACATCTCTAATTTAGAACCCTATAACACACATGGATAGCTCAAAAAAGTTGTTGAGATTGTGGTTTAATTTAGTTTTGTCACAAGCTTCATTGATTTGCACTGTTGCTTTTGTAACACTGTACACATTTTTCATAAAATGAAACTCTTTACGTCATACTTACATGGCCAGCCAGTCTAGATGGGCAAAATGTTTGGCCCCTGATCCAAAAACCATGCCTACCCCTGCGCTATAACAATCAATTGTTTCGCGAACATGGAATATTCGAGTCTTTCCAAAAATAGCTACTGCTTGTTTAAAAAGCAAAAGAATAAAAATACAACTTGAAAGCTTCAACTCACTTGGGATAAAATTTTGCGTGCTCAAACCAAGGGTCGTCTCCTTCTTCAAAATTCATTAAACCTCCCCCACAGAACCAGCATTTGCATTTGTCCCCATCGCCTGAAATTTAATTAACCATCAAGCGAGTATGGAAATATTCTGGTACATGGATAAAAATCATCTCGCACATAACTATCCCTGCATGGAATTCGAACCTGCGAACCCACGCAGAGTAATCAGAGGTGCGGTGGCGAGCATATTTTTAACGATTGGCGCAATGAGCCTTATTATACTTTGGTAAAAATCTTCAGTTACGTTGGATTCTTTACCATCAAGCTGTTCACCTAATTGTACAATTTGGATTGCTCCATGCTTTTCGTCAATCAGCGTTTGCATTACTGTACAGTGTCACCAAAATATTCTGAATTCTTTATAACCCTTAGAATCTCATGGTAGGTCTGCACTACTCCACCTCAACTTTACACTAGTGAGCAAGCGAGACATTGCTTTTCAAATAATTAACCACTTTGAGCTCAAAAACTGTGATTCCATTTAAAAGACTGAAAAGTATTCAGTTTGTATATAACAAATTTAGATACTCCCATAGTATGTGTACCAGGTTGAGATTAGGCCATAATTTTATTTCAATTTTCCCTATTTTAGTTCCATTACGAGTTCGGGAACTGTCTGTGTTACCCTGCTTACCATGGGTTTCAGTCCCTTTACACAACTTGATGTAAAATATGCAAACAAAATTAATTACCTCCATATTGGTACACATACCTATGGAGCACCCAACTTTATATTTTGAAGTGCTCACCCAAATAGTACAATCCAGCCTGAGCCAATGTTGTATCACTTGCTCTCAATGGAGTATTTCTCCTAAAGTTGGGGTTGTTTGTGAATGTTTGAAGTCTTATGTGCTCTTCACGCATACTTGGGTTGTTCGGATTCTCACAGGGAAGTTCCAACTGAGAATAAAAAGTTAGATTTTATATTAGGTATGGGACTAAAAACACAGTCCAAAAGATGTTCAAGTATTTTGGTTTCGAATTCTTGGCTGAGGTGAATGCATGACATTGAATAATTTACCATTTTAGGTTTTGAACCCCTCATTAAGATGTCTGTTTCTAGTTAAATTTTTCAGTCAGTAAAATCACTTCGTAACCAAAAGTGAAAAAAAAAGGGGCGCTTCATAAGTATGTCAACAAAGATAGCGGACACAGAACGTAGTGTGTGTACCGGGCTAGAGTTAGGCAATATTTTCATTCCGATTTTCATTTTGGTTCTATTTAGTTCTATTAAGAGTCCCGTGACTAGCCAAGTGACTCTTGTAGTAGTTGTGCCTAAAATTACGGCCCAACCCTAACCTGGTACACATACTTTGTTCTGGTTCACATCGAAAAATGTCAAATCAAAATTAATATAGTCGGGCAGTTTGCCCCCCCAGAAGCCATTTGGGTTGGGCATGGCGGATATAGACTAACCTTTAGATTAGAAATTTCCGCAGCTGACTGTTGCACTGGCCATGTCAAATTAGAAAATGTGAGCGGTGCATATTCTGGTAGTGTTGGAGCAGATACAGGTCCATTGACATCCAGTGATGGAGATGGGAACGTTCTAAATGAACACAAACGAAACTTTAAACTAGGCTAGGCATGAGATCAGAACTGTGTAAGTTATTCTAATTATTTGACAATAAATGCATCATTCTAGGCTTTATTAACAGTATGTTTGTCATTGTGATGATCATCTGCGGTGGTGTGTCTCATCGTGCTAATCGTTAGGAATACGCTCGTCACCGAACCTCTGGTTACTCTGTGGGGGTTCGCAGGTTTGAATGCCATGCAGGGATAGAGTTATCTGCAAGAGGATTGCTGGACTCCTCACCGTCGTAGGGTGGTTCACGTAACCGCTGGTCGGGTACGGCTTCCTCGACTATCAAGTTCATGCTTCCGAAAACAAATAACTAACTAATCCCTATATTTGCATTCATATCACTCAACTGCACAAACCTTGGAAAAAATGGGTGGTATCTTTGTGGAGATGCTATTCTTGGAGTTATTCCTCTGTATTGTAACAGTGTCTCTCCAACTTCTTCATCTTTAACTGATCTAGGAAAGAATAACAACAACTATTGATTTTACAGAAAGCTGATATTCTTAATTTATTTTCGAGATAAATAGATGATGTAACATAAGTTTGTGCACTATATCTTTAAATAATATGCCAATGAATTGTAAGCAGAATATCTGCCGATCTGTTTGGCCACTCTTTTACAACGGACCATACAAATATTTATTTAATATTCGAAAAAAAAAAAAAATGTAACTTCAAAGAGTTTAGCACTAGTTCTTGGAAACATTCATTTGCTTAAATTCTTTAAACAGTATTAGCATTGCTATTCTTAAAAAAGATGTGATGTAAATAATGCAATTTTTGTTTAAATATTATATAACATTTTTGGTACTCCCGAAGTATGTGAACCAAGATGGCGGACACCAGAATCTAGTATGTGTACTAGGTTAGGGTTGGACCATAATTTTATTCCAATTTTAGTTCTATTACGAGTTCCGGGACTAGCCAAGTGACTCCCGTAGTATTTGTACCTGAAATCATGGCCTTACCCTAACTTTGTACACATACTACGTTTCGGTGTCCGCCATCTTGGTTCACATACTTTAGAAGCACCCATTTTTTCACTCCTTTCAACCCAAGTAAAATCCTATACAACAATCCATCGATATACGAGGACCTAGTATTTTACGGTAGGAACTAAAAGCATATTTACAATTCATTTTCGGCAACTTTATTGTCATCGCTAAATATTTCCGAGCTATTGAAGTTTGCAAATTTTTCGTGCATACTTGGCAGTCTTAGGAAAACAGGCTACAAAAAAGAATAGAAACAAATATTTTATCTAAGAAAGTTTGAACTACAAATGGCTCGGCGCTGTGGCGCATCGTGCCAAGCGATATTAATATGATCACCACCATACCTCTGATTACCCTGCGTGGGTTTGTATCTTATGTGGGATAATTAATGCTTTCTTACTTAATTCAACACACAGGGTGACAAGGAAACAAATCTCCTTTCGTCTATAAAACTAATTTTTTAGATATAAATTTTTAGTACCTACCGTATTTCCCGGCTAATAAGTCTACTCGGCAAAAAAGAGGATTTTTTTTCATATAGCCCCCAATGAAATGGGCAGAAAAATTGCTTCTCTGTTGGTCAGCTGGCAGTACAAAGTCAATTAAAAAACATGACACATTGCAGACCGTTTGGCGCGGTGGAATACATTATAAAATATGTCAACCCCAAAATTGATTTAACACAAATCATGCTTGAGAAGACTCCTGCAAAAAAATTGGGTCTAGAAAAGAGACTTATTAACGGGCAAATACGGTGTATTATACTACGCTTTTTTAACCCCATTGACTTTGAAAATGCTTTTTAGAAGCAAGGACATATTCAAACACCCACTATTGGGAAAAACCGGAATATTTCGGGTTCAACATTGCCTACGCACACTTTGGGTATTGTGGGAGATAAAGGAATACAGTTATCATTATTTTCAAAAATAGATATAAGGGTATGGGATACTTACTCTGAATTGAGAATCGCAGGGAATCGGTGATTCTTTATTGCTTTGCACAGATTCTGTATTATTTCCACTCTGCAATTGTAGTGCATCTGATACTGAAAAAATAGTATAATTTTTAAATAATATATACAGTATATATTTTTTTGTAATAATATAGTCATCATCTAGCCTACTGAATGATCAATATGACTTGACTAGGAAAACATATCTCCCGCGCTCTGATGATTTCAAAATTACAACTGGATATTAACGCAGTAGTAAGACAATGACAATTAAGCAAGAATTATGACTTACATGGGGGAGAACTTTTCACAGGATGCGTTTTCACAAATTGACAGCCTTCCATATGAAACCAAGGATCACTAGGTTTGTCAGTGGGATTGAATGTGCTTATGTCTGCTACCTTGTTGCATCTAAAAAAATTCAAAGATCAATGCAGGGGTACTAAGATATAATGTGTTGAAATGCAAGCTGCGACAAGGGGTTTAAAACATAAAATTGGCTCTTCGGCGCATCCCGTCGAGCGTTAGGAATATGCTCGCCACAGCTTCTCTGATTACCTTAGGTGGGTTCGCAGGCTCGAATCCCATGCGGGGGTAGTTATGTGCGAGATAATTGCTGATTGTTATAAGGCGGAGAAGTTATGAATAAATAAGACAGAACTTCTTTATGTACCTTAATGGGGGAATCACTACTACATTTAATATAATAAATATGAAGATACAACAATTTTATGCTGAAAAAAAAACATATTAGACTTACCCAGTACATAGGTTGAGTTGAAGTGTCTCGGGGAAATCTTCAAATGATGAACAGTAATCAAGGAGACTTATTGGCTGACATGAGGCTGTGAAGGAAATGAGAATAATAATATCATGACCATCTTGAAACTGCGACAACCTAAGTGGTCAAATATAACAAACGACAAACTTAAGTGTCGTATATTCCTGGATTTCTTTCCTCATTTAATGAATTCATAAACATGCTACAACTACAAACACACACAGTATTCAGCGACGTTCATACAGTCCTTCTGTGCATCGGATGTTCAAATGTTTTATGCCAACCAACTGGTAAAAGGGCGAGGCTTACAGAAGGCTGCTCCTTCCAGAGGAAACAACAGTAAAAGTTTTTGTCTAAATACCAAACTTACTCGAGTCAGAATAAGAACTAGAATCTAGTCTTGATAATTGATTACTAAATGAATTTATTCTTGAGAATTGATAACAGCGTTCCATGAAAAATGTAGGTTGATTGGGTGTGTCAGGCACAATTAGTTGGCTGTCCGACCTAGGGAAAGATATATCCCTCGTGTTCTGATGATTCAAAATAACAAATACCGGTAGGTATAAACGCAGCAGTAAGATAATAAAAATTAAGCAAGAATTATGACTTACATCGGGGAGAACTTTTTACAAAACGTACTCTCACAAATTGACAGCCTTCCATATGGAAACGAGGATCATTAGGTTTGTCAGTGGGTTTGAATGTGCTTATGTCTGCTAACTTGTTGCATCTAAAAAAAATTCAAAGATTAATGCAGGGGTACTAATATATAATGTTGCGAGTTGCGACAAGGAGTCTGGAACATAAACTGGCTTTGCAGTGTGGCTCATCATGGCTAGCTAATCCCATACCCAACATGGTAACTGCACGAGAGGCCATGATTGCCCCTATGACTAAACCACCTTATCGGCTTTCCTGTCCTCCCTGATAAATGTGTAAATCCTATTCTGAAAATTCTAACAGTAATATTGGGATAAATAAAAATAACACAAGCTCTTTCCATGATATCTGGGTTGAAGAAATCATGATATTGTATTTATCACATTACTGGTAAACCGGAAGTATGTATGAAATATGCATCAATGATTAAAATTTATACACTCAAAAAATATATTTTAAAAATAAAATTACTTTGAAATAAAGCAATAGGATGATCTTACTAGGAAATGGCAGGTATTGTAATATATCACAAGTTCAAACCCAGCTGTATCAGGGGTGTTCAAAAAATACCATACGTATGCTATGAACCCCTTACTCCAATCATTTTTAGAAGTTTTACAGCTATCCTAACCCAGAACCGCAGCACACAATTATTGTTTGTTAAGTCAGTAAATTGTGTGAATTTAGTAAAGTGTGCTACACGGCGGAGAAGTTTTGGAATAAAAAGACACAACGTCTGGTGCTCCGGAAGTATGTGTACCAAGATGGCGCACAACCTAATACCACTAACCCAGTACACAAACTATGGTCAGGTTGAGCGCCATCTTGGTGCACGTACTTCAGGAGCACCCAGCATCTTTATGTACCTTACTGGGTTATCACTCCATATAATGTAATAAATATGAAGATACAACAATTTTATGCTGAAAAAAAACATATTAGAATTACCCAGTACATGTGAAGTGTTTTGATATATTATTGTAAATGAATCCACTTTTTGCAAACTGGATAGGTTTGAGTTGAAGCGTCTTAGGGAAATCTCCATATGATAAAACTCTCTCATTGAAACTGACTGGATAACATAAGGCTGGAAAGAAAATGAGAATAATATTATGGCCATTTTGAAACTGCGACAACCTAATTATCGAATATAACAAATGACAGACAATCTTAATTGCTGTATAGTTTAGAATTTAGCAATTAACGAACTACAACTACAAACATGGTCTGATTCCAGCTCATCTCATTAATTATTAACTAACACAGAAAACACAGTTTATATTTGTGGAAGATTCCAGAGCGAACATGAATCATTGTCGCTCAAGGGCAGGCAGTCATTTGGTCTGGAAATTACAGTTTTGAGTAATCAACCTTTCGCTGTGACCATTGTTTGTGAGAAATTCAATAGGTGAATAACAAATTTCACTCAATTCATGAAAGTCAAAAATGAGGAGAAACGTCAAAATTTGAGAGAATAAGTTTGTTGATAAATGGTCCAAAATGAAAATTTTTCAATAATCTAACCCACCTATTGCAATGGACATGCATAAAACTTAATTTCATGATACAGAACCGTTTACATCAAAGGTCTCAAACTCAATTTACCTAGGGGCCACTGGAGGCAAAGTCTAGGTGGGTCAGGGCCTCATCTGGTTTTCCAGAATAAAAGCTTAGTTTGAAAAATTTAAACCTTTCCTCACTTTATTTTTGTTTGATCAAGCATTTTGCTGATGGACAGTGGTGTCTTACCACATGGTTACAATGTATCAATCCGAGAACGTATAATAAATGGATCAATCATGTGGCGAACTGAACTAGGTGACTTGCGGGCCACACTAACATTGAACTTCCATATTAAGGTGGTGGCCACAAATTATGGTCTTGCGGGCCGCAATTGTCCCTGGGGGTGCGAGTCTGAGACCCCTGGTTTACATGATTCAGAACTTTTTTCACGTAATACTGAACTGGGAAGATGATAGTCATTCTATATCACATAGCAGCTCTTTACATATCAAGTTAAACTTGTCTAAAGTTTTATTTAAAGGAAAAGTTCACAGAATAAATGAAAAAAATTCACATCTATGCTTCAACATAACAAACTTACACGAGTCGAAACTATGACTAGAATCTGGTCTTGATATTTGATAACTGAATGAATTTAATCTTGATGATAGTTCCATAGAAATGTTGCATCGTGGCATAGGTAATGTTGCTGGATTGGGTATGTCAGCTTTGTCAGCCATAATTTTGTATACTGGTTAGACAAAAAATACAATACAATTTTTTATTAACTTGTCGAATAGGAAAACCAACAGAATTGATTTTAGAATATGGTCTTAGTTTGGTTAGAGCAGGGGTGAAAAAGGTTTTTGGACCATGGGGCCAAAAATTGTGCCCACCGAGACTGGCGGGCCATGTAAGTGTGACATGAAATGTTTATGAATAATACTGATCTATATTTTCAGCTACAACATCAGAATATGGTTTTAGTTTTGTGGTGGTAGCATCAGGTGGGCCAGATTAAATTACCCAAAGGGCCGGATTTAGCCCACATGCTGTAGTTTGCCCATGTTAGGGTTCGAGTAATGAAAACAAGCAAATCATTGGAATTTGATGAAAGAGTATAATTCAGCTTCTTAAAAAAAAGAAATTAATTACGCGATTCACGACTATAGAGGAGGCATCAGACCCTACAATCAATATAAATAAGCAGAACAATATCAGTCTGGAATCTTTTTTTCTTGTCATCTATATAAGCGTTGAATATCATGCATGGATAATTATGTTAGAGAGGACTGCTGGACTTCTCACCCCCGTACGGTGGGTGGGGTTACAAGTCCATGCTTCCAAAACAAATAACTAACTCAGGGTGGTCCAAGGTTGTGGGCTCCACGGGCCACAAAATTATTTTGGCATTGGTAGTGGGCCACAATAGTACCAAGAATAAGCGATACAAAACAACCACTTTTATTGTGTAACCACATAGTTATCAGGCGTTGCCAACCTAGGCTAATGGAATCTGCATTCGATTTTTTAGTTTTCTATCATGCCTATATTGTTAGCATATATTCCCAGCCTAAACGATAGAAATCCAGGTAACAATTTAGAATGGGTCACATCCTTCAACTTCGCTAGTTGCTCCATCTAGCCATTATACTTGTCAATTCAGTCGCAATAGTGATATACCAACAATATGTCAAATGATTTTTCTGATTTATTTTATGAGAAGAAATTTAAAATACGATATTTTGATTACGCTCCGAATGCGGCGCGGGCCACAGATAATGAAGCGGCGGGCCACATGTGGCCCACGGGCCTGGGTTTGGACCACCCTGAACTAACTAATCCCATACCTGACATGGAATGGTAACCGGACAAGAGACCGCGGTTCGCCATATAGTTAAGCCATCTTATCAACTTTTCTTTCTCCCAAATCCGGCCCGCGTAACAATTTAAAATGGTCCACCGAGCTCAGGTGAAATGGTGTTCAACAGATTTTGTTTGCGTTCTAGTGTGTTACGCCATTATCACAGTTCAAACATGTGTATATTGTAACAATTCAATTAAACCCCTATCTCATTTATAGGCACCGGTATTAGAATTACATAGGGCAGTAATTTAGTTATCAACCACATAAGAAAACTTAGAGATATCAAAACACAAATGAAAACTAGACTCCGTAAACAGACATTTTTGGCAACAATGGTGAATCCACTGAACCCCAGCTGAACCGCTGCGCTTTTTCGGGCGCTACACTCATCCGGCCCTCAAACATCCCGTCCGATTCTAATTTTGGCCCGCTGCCTATAAAGTCTGGGAACCCCTGACTTAGAATATTTAACCCCTACATCTGTACGAATAGGACGCTCCAGAAGTATTTGTACCAATGTGGGGATTAAAAAAATAAAATAAAAAGAATGAAGAGGTTTTGTCCGCCTAAAGATAGATATTGCAATGCTTGCAATGTTTTTAAAAAAGTTGTGTCTCCACTCCACTTGTAGATGCCCCATACTTGTTTCGCATATTCCACTAGTCCGCCCTGTATTTTTTTCTCAACCCCGAACGTACAAATCGCACTCCATATGCTCACTCTAACCATTTGCCTAAAGTTTTATATCTAACCTAACCCAGAACATACCATGTATCCCCCTTCATATGCTTACTCTAACCAATTGCCTAAAGTTTTATATCTATCCAACCCAGAACATACCATGAATCCCACTTCATATGTTTACTCTAATCAATTGCCTAAAGTTTTAATCTATCCTAACCCAGAACATACCATGTATCCCACTTCATATGCTTACTCTAACCAATTGACTAAAGTTTTATATCTATCCTAACCCAGTACATACCATGAATCCCACTTCATATGCTTACTCTAACCATTTGCCTAAAGTTTTATATCTATCCTAACCCAGAACATACCTTGAATCCCACTTCATAAGCTTACTCTAACCATTTGCCTAAAGTTTTATATCTATCCTAACCCAGAACATAGCATGAATCCCACTTCATATGCTAACTTCAATTATTTGCCCAAAGTTTTATATCTATCCCAACCCAGAACATATTATGAATCCCACTGCATATGCTAACTCCAACCATTTGCCTGAAGTTTCATATCTATCCTAACCCAGAACATATTATGAATCCCACCTCATAAGCTTACTCTAACCATTTGCCTAAAGTTTTATATCTATCCTAACCCAGAACATACCACGAATCCCACTTCATACGCTTACTCTAACCATTTGACTAAAGTTTTATATCTATCCTAACCCAGAACATACCTTGAATCCCACTTCATAAGCTTACTCTAACCATTTGCCTGAAGTTTTATATCTATCCTAACCCAGAACATACCTTGAATCCCACTTCATAAGCTTACTCTAACCATTTGCCTAAAGATTTATATCTATACCGACCCAGAACATACCATGAATCCCACTTCATAAGCTTACTCTAACCATTTGCCTAAAGTTTTATATCTATACCGACCCAGAACATACCATGAATCCCACTTCATAAGCTTACTCTAACCATTTGACTAAAGTTTTATATCTATCCTAACCCAGAACATACCTTGAATCCCACTTCATAAGCTTACTCTAACCATTTGCCTAAAGATTTATATCTATACCGACCCAGAACATACCATGAATCCCACTTCATAAGCTTACTCTAACCATTTGCCTAAAGTTTTATATCTATACCGACCCAGAACATACCATGAATCCCACTTCATAAGCTTACTCTAACCATTTGCCTAAAGTTTTATATCTATACCGACCCAGAACATACCATGAATCCCACTTCATAAGCTTACTCTAACCATTTGTCTAAAGTTTTATATCTATCCCAACCCAGTACACACCATGAATCCCACTTCATATGCTTACTCTACCCATTTGCCTAAAGTTTTATATCTATCCTAACCCAGAACATACCTTGAATCCCACTTCATAAGCTTACTCCAACCATTTGCCTGAAGTTTTATATTTATCCCAACCCAGTACACACCATGAATCCCACTTCATATGCTTACTCTACCCATTCGACTAAAGTTTTATATCTATACCAACCCAGAACATACCATGAATCCCACTTCATATGCTTACTCTAACCATTTGACTAAAGTTTTATATCTATACCGACCCAAAACATACCATGAATCCCACTTCATATGCTTACTCTAACCATTTGACTAAAGTTTTATATCTATACCTACCCAGAACAGAGTTCATAAGCTTACTCTAACCATTTGCCTAAAGTTTTATATCTATACCAACCCAGAACATACTATGAATCCCACTTCATATGCTCACTCTAACCATTTGACTAAAGTTTTATATCTATCCCAACCCAGAACATACCACGAATCCCACTTCATACGCTTACTCTAACCATTTGCCTAAAGTTTTATATTTATCCCGACCCAGAACATACCATGTATCCCACTTCATAAGCTTACTCTAACCATTTGGTTCCATTACATTTGAACCCACGTACATTTGAACCCACGACGATTGCACTGGCATACTATTGCACCTCTGGAAATTTTTGTTGTTTTACGGATATTTGAACCCATACTAACCCTAACCCATGGGTTTTGTACCCGCATATAGATTGAACCCGCGAATATACACATGGGTTCTAATGTACGTGGGATCAAATGTACGGTCACCTAACCATTTGCCTAAAGTTTTATATCTATACCTACCCAGAACATAGTTCATAAGCTTACTCTAACCATTTGCCTAAAGTTTTATATCTATACCTACCCAGAACGTAGTTCATAAGCTTACTCTAACCATTTGCCTGAAGTTTTATATCTATACCGACCCAGAACATACCATGAATCCCACTTCATATGCTTACTCTAACCATTTACCTAATGTTTTATATCTATCTTAACCCAGAACATACCACGAATTCCACTTCATAAGCTTACTTCAACCATCTGCGTAAAGTCTTATATTTATCCTTATTTACCGGTATAAGAAAGATATACAATTATAGGCAATTGTACAGGTACCTTGTTCATAATAAATGCGCATTAATCAAGGCTATACCTATAGTATATATGTTTGGAATAAGCATTGTGATTCATTAAATTCAGAAAATTGTGTGGGCTGATATTCGATAATAATTGTGTGGTTAACTGTTTTAACCACAAAAATAATGCTGCTATTGTTCAAAAGGAATCACGTTTCTGTTCAATTATAAATAAAAAAATCAAAATAAATTTCAGACAATAATTCCGGAATATCAACAAGTGAGTATTCATAAAATCATAACACATCAATGCACTGAATATTACAAATTTGGAACTAGGTATAAGTGTCCAATAACATAATTTAATTCAGAATGACCAATTCCCAACCTGACCTATAAACTGCTGGACTGAACGATATTACGAGATTAACTTATCCATTGCTAAATATTATATATGATCTCCTCCCTTCGTTTGTCAATATTCACATCGACAAAACGGAACACAAAGAACATTCAAATTGCGAAATCTATTTGTTTAGTTACTATACCTGAGATAATAGTCAACGTAATGGAAAAGTACTGGAGAGGGTGTGTAGGGGGCTGTGGTCTGAAGCAACCCCTTTAAAATTTTAGGGGAATCCATTGGTACTTGGTTGTGAGGCAGTGAACGATACGTAGCGTTGCGCAACGAGTTAATATAGTTTTTAGCGTCAAACAGGGTTCACATTCCACAAAGTGATTTGTTTTTCCAT